GAGACTTATAATTTGCAATTATATATTGTTGCTCTTTTGTTAGTTTTGACTGCTTTTATTGTCCTCATTTGTAAGTCGCTTTGGATAAAAGCGTCTGCTAAATGACTAAATGTAAATGTAGATTAAGCAGACATAAAAACAATTCAGTGTGTAAAATCATACCTATTCTCTGGATCATCGTCATCATCCACCACCTGGGAGGATTCAGCCTTCAATTCAATTTCATCACCTTCATAAACAAGAAGAAAAAAACAACAACTTATAAGCTGTGAAATTCAATCAATTTTACCCCAAACACTAGTTTATACAACACTGATGATGAACCTAATGATCTAAGACACTCAGTGTTCAGTAGAGCCGCCCATAATAGTCTTCTTTCTTTTCCCAAATCTTCACTCACATCTCAAGAATGGCAAAGAAAACACTCAGTGGACCAAATTTTAATTAGTCGGTTTGTTGCAGGGAATACAAAAAACAAAGACAAAAACACTCCATAGGATATAGAGAAGTCATGCAGTCTGTAACGGACACATCGTTATCACCACTGCTACACGGTTATTTATTAGCTTTTCTATAATGTAGCCTATGGTAGGGCTGTGCCATTCATCCTGACAACTGCCCCTGGTCGAGCAGTACAATTTAAATTTTTGTTTGCAAATGCTGTTTTAGGTTAATATTATGACACTGAATTAGTACAAAGTTTTGTTTACAAAAGAAATAATAGGTTAGCAATTAAGTGTTACATCACAAGCATGGAAACATCTAGATTTGTGTCAAATGAGGGTACATGAGAGTAAATGTAAGCCATATAAAGGCGATCTGGAAACCCTATTTTCCACAAATTTATTCCACGAGTTATTAATCGCTTCTTTCTTTTCCCAAATCTTCACTCACATCTCTCTCATAGTTGCACGGGATTATAAACGTTTCTTCCTTTCATTCTATTTAACATGTCAACTTGCATGGCAAATTCTATTTAACACATCAAATTCTATTTATTTACCATATTCTATTTAACATGTCAAATTCTATTTGACCCATTTTCTTCTTGTTAGACTTTGGTAAGGCACGTCATGTTGTATAGCGCATTTCACACTTGCCAATAATTTCGTTTTGCTTTCTCTGGAAGTGCAATATCAAATATAGCTTTCATTTCTTGCAGAAGATAAATTTGCTTTTCTGACCTGAAAGCGCAGAGCGGCAGATAAGATGCCAATATGATTGAATTGATATTATAAATGAGCGCTTAATCCACTAATGGCTTAAATGAACGACTAATAGTAGACTAGGACAATCTTTGGTCAAGGCTAGCCCTAATGTTCAGTGTATTATATAATTGCATTATATTCCAGCTGTTAATGCACACTTTTTTTTCGAGCTAGTCTACTCTATATTACAGTTTTTTACTGTAATATAGAGTTTTTACTAATCTATATTACAGTGACTACGTCTTCTATCTAAAAATGGATCCATCTTAAATACTCTCAAATGTTCCATCAGTGTGTAGCAATATATGGACTAATGTCTCAGTTCAGTGATCTTTGTGTCTAGGTCTGTTTCACTTCACATATACAGTGGGGAAAATATTTATTTGATCCCCGGCTGATTTTGTAAGTTTGCCCACTTACAAAGAAATGAAGAGTCTGTAATTTTTATGGTAGGTTTATTTTAACAGATAGAGACAAAATACCAACCAAAAAATCCAGAAAAAAAAACATTATATAAAGGTTAGAAATTTATTTGCATTTCAGTGAGTGAAATAAGTATTTGATCCCCAACCAACCAGCAAGAATTCTGGCTCCCACAGATTGGTTATGTGCCCATGTGGAACACAGATTAGTCCTGTCACTTTAAGAAATTACTCCTAATGTCAGCTTGTTAGGTGTATAAAAGACACCTGTCCACACAATCTGTATCTTTCATTCCAACCTCCCCCACCACCATGGGCAAGACAAAAGAGCTGTCAAAGGATGTCAGAGACAAGATTGTAGATCTGCACAAGGCTGGAATGGGCTACAAGACCATCAGCAAGAAGCTTGGGGAGAAGGAGACAACTGTTGGTGCGATTATTCGGAAATGGAAGAAATTCAAAATAACCATCAATTTGATGGTTATTTTGCACGGAGCTCTCAGTCTGGAGCTCCGTGCAAGATCTCGCCTCATGGGGTAAGGATGATCATGAGAAACGTGCGGGATCAGCCCAGAACTACACGGGAGGAGCTTGTTAATGATCTTAAGGCAGTTGGGACCACTGTCACCAAGCAAAGCATTGGTAACACACTACGCCGCAATGGACTGAAATCCTGCAGCACCCGCAAGGTCCCCCTGCTCAAGAAGGCACATGTACAGGCCCGTTTAAAGTTTGCCAAAGAACATTTAAATGATTCAGAGAAGGCTTGGGAGAAAGTGCTGTGGTCAGATGAGACCAAAATTTAGCTCTTTGGCATTAACTCAAATCGCTGTGTTTGGAGGGAGAGAGATGCTGACTATGACCCCAAAAACATTATCCCTACAGTCAAGCACGGAGGTGGAAACATTATGCTTTGGGGCTGTTTTTCTGCTAAGGGTACAGGACGACTTCACCGCATTGAGGGGCAAATGGACGGGCCATGTACTGTAAAATCTTGGATGAGAACCTCCTTCCTTCAGCCAGAACACTGAAGACGGGTCATGGATGGGTCTTCAAGCATGACAATGACCCGAAACATACCACCAAGGCAACAAAGGAGTGGCTCAAGAAGAAGCACATTAAGGTCATGGAGTGGCCTAGCCAGTCTTCAGACCTCAATCCTATAGAAAATCTGTGGAGGGAGCTGAAACTTCGAGTTGCCAAACGACAGCCAAGAAACCTTAAGTATTTAGAGAGGATCTGTAAAGAGAAGTAAACCAAAATCCCTCCTGAGATGTGTGCAAACCTGGTGACCAACTACAAAAAACGTCTTACCTCTGTGCTTGCCAACAAGGGGTTCTGCACCAAGTACTAAGTCATGTTTTGCTTGGGGATCAAATACTTATTTCACTCACTGAAATGCAATTTCAATTTCTAACCTTTATATAATGTGTTTTTTTCTGGATTTTTTGGTTGGTATTCTGTCTCTATCTGTTAAAATAAACCTACCATAAAAATTACAGACCCTTCATTTCTTCAAAATCAGCAGGGGATCAAATAAATATTTTCCCCACTGTACCGTGTGCATGGCACGTGCAGTTTATTTTCATTTAGGCAGTCTTTTTAAAAGGAGAGCCACTAGGTGCCGCACTCCAAAAGTGGCAGTGAGTACACAGTTTTGCCCAAAGCTGATGCTGAAATCAGCTGGAGACTAAACATCAGGACACTAGAAAAAACATGAAAGCAGATCAAAAACATCTGAGCTCTGAATGCAAACGACTGAAGCAGACAACACTCTGCAAGTTGGTGGTTTACGTAAATTATTTACCATTGTGATGCAAAATTGGTCCTCATATATAACCAGTGTTGGGGAGTAATTAGTTACATGGATGGTGTTATATAATTTAATTACAAAATAAATTTTACTGTCATTAGTTGCAGTTACTGAGAAAAAAAAATTGAAATTAAATTAGTTACTTATGAAAATGGTATCGATTGCACAAGGGGTTACATCAGACAGACACACACACACACTTGCAGATTTAATTGATTTCTATCCCAAACTGCTTTGACTGCTCTAAAATATAAGACACCAATGTTTCAGGAGTTTAGGACACAGAATAGGACACGTGCTTATTTAATAACTGTTTTATTTCCTATTTGGGTTTATATGCTTTATTTTTTTAAGATGAACTGTTAGTTTGGCATTGTTAGATGCCGGTGTTTCCTGTCAAACTCTGCAAAGATTTGATTTCAAAAACAGTATCATAACAGTATCAGGCCATGTCCACACGTACACGGGTATTTTTAAAAAACGAGTTTTTCCTTCTTCCGTTTAAAAAAAAATCTCCGTCCACATGAAAACGCAAATGCAAGCTATGACGCCCTGTCAAGAGCATGCCTAACCAACAGGTGGCGATATAATCTCAACCGTAAAACCATGTTGGCCAATCAGAAGCCTGAAAAAGTCTCTAGTAGGCGGAGATAACAGCACAGGCTCCGACGTCACAAGCCAAAAACTCCGGTTTTGCTGTCTACACGATAACACTGCAAACGGAGTTTTTGAAAATCTTAACCCTGGCAGGCGTTTTCAAAAATGTTCGTATTTCAGTGAACTGGTGCTGCGTTTGCGTGTGGACGAACGGCCTAACCGCGTAGAAACAGCTGCGGTTTTAAAAATAACCGCGTTCGTGTGGACAGGGCCTCAGTATCAAAACATCAGCTAGAAATTTAGAAACGTAATCAAATGTAATCAGTTACAATCCTTTAATAACGTAATTGAAATAGTTAGTTACACTTTTTATTGCATTTTAAATAGGGTAACTTGTAATCTATAACCCATTACATTTCCAAAGTAACCTTCCCAACCCTATATAACATATATTCCTGATGCAAGTCACTTTTCTTTATCATCTGAAACATGCTTCAACTTGTATTATATATAATGCAAATAACAACAAGCATGCAAAACATTTGTGTATTTGTACAATGCATTACCAAAATGCCAGTAGCTTCAATGTTGCTATTTTTTTAAATGAATGGCACTATAATTTGTTTGTTTTATACTTTTATTTTTCATTTCTGTTCTTAATAGCATTAAAATGTAAACGTAAATTATGTATTGTGGAGTGATGGATAATCAAATAAATGCTTACCTGTGTTTTACCTTATTTCTGAATGTAATAAAAATGTAATAAAAAAATGTAATAAAAAAATGACTGACTTACACACCGATGTAGCCCCCCCCACACACACACACACACACATTTCATAATGATCGAGTTTGTATTAATCCTCATTTACCCTCTCAAAAAAAACATTAGAAATGTTGTACATTATTTAAGAATTTGTAGTATTTAATCATTTCCATTTCAGAATTTTTATGTGGTCCCCCTCAGCGCCACCCGTTTGGAAACTGCCGCTAATAAACCAGCCAACAGGAGGTGCGGTTCAAGATTAATGGCAGCATTTTACGGGGACAGTAAGTAATTTCGTAGATTTTCTTCTAACATTTTATTTTCCCCAATTTGAAATCAATGATCAATAGGCAGCTAATACTTCCTGCCATAAAACTGATCTTAGTTCAACCTTTTTTTCGACTGACCTGATGACTGATGGAAACCATCAATACTAGCCATCACGGACTCAAGAATTGGTTTAATCTTCTGCTGATCGCTGTCTTCGTCCGAGTTAGCGGCCTGCTCCTCCTCCTCCTGCTCTTCATCACTGGAGGAAAACTCCTCCTTGGTTTTAGCCTTTTCTTTCTGTGACCGCCGTTTCCTCTCGAATGACCTTTTAGGGCCTTTCTTGCCCTCTTTACTGGATTCACTCTCTTCCTTTTTGACACCTTTGGACGTTTTTTTCCCACTGCCGATCTTGGACAGGCTTTTCATCTGTTTCTCAAGATCAGAGTTGTGGTTCGAGGAGTCAGATTCTCTGCCCTTCTTTTTTTTGGGCCTCCTTTTGTTTGCTGTTGATGACTTGCCGCTCTGTTCTGAATCCGAGGAGCCCATATCGAGTTTACGCTTTGGCTTCGCTTTTGCTTTCTCAGCAGAGCGGGAAGCTACCTTCTTCTTCTTGGTACCTTTTCCAGAAGCGTTCTCGGGTTCGCTCTCATCAGAGCTGGCCTTCAAGGCAGCAGTCTGCAGGACCTCAGGGACTTCATCTGAGTCTGAATCGCACTGCTCCTTCACTGCGTCGCTGTGCTTTTCTTTATCCCTTGACGACCTCGGTTTGCGTTTGCGCTTCGTCTCTGGTGACTTGCGCAGCGGTGTGGTCTTCATCCTGGGGGAGCGTCTGCTATCTTGAGCCTCCTTTGGCAAGTCTTCTGAAGGCGACTGTTCTTGACTCTTATCTCGTTTTATGGTGATTTTAAGAGGAACAGGTGTTAGTTTGACAACAAGTTTTCTACCCAGTTTTGTAAGGCTCTTATTGGATTCCACAACCCCAGCATTGGACGTTGATTTCCAATCACTGGAACCAGTCGAGTTGCTATCGTCACGGTCTTCTTTCTTTACCGCAAGACTCTCGACCATCTCAAAGAGCTCCTCTGGGACAGACGGTGGAATAGACACAATGTCTTTATCAAGAGACGCTTCCCCAGCTGGCACTGGGTTTTCCTCAAAGTCAGGGTTATCTGCCATTTCTTGAGCTTCACTTTCTTCAGACCGATCCTGAGGTCCTTCTGGAGAGGGTGGAAGGCTCTCCTTCATTTCAACATCAGCTGAGTTACTTTCCTGTTGGTTTTCATCTTGGTCCTTGGCGGTGCAATCCAAACCATCTTCTCTGACAGGAGCAGGGACTGAGTTAACAACGGTATGATCTGTTTGACTGTGTGCCGGTCTTTGCTCCTCTCCGTTTTGAAACTTGAGGCCTTTCGATTCAAATTCTTTTTCCAGTGATTCCTCCAGAGCCACGTGGGCCTTTTTCAGATCGGCCAAAACCGATTTGAAGGCCTTTAAGTGTCTATTACTTACGGCGCCAACTTCACGGCCTTTTGACGTGTGCTGGAGGAATTGTACAAAAGTACGATTCAAACCGTTTGTGGTCTCGATGAGTTTTTTGGTCTTCTTGACGAGCTCTTTCGGAACCGTCAACGTCTTACAGGAAAAGGATAACGATCCCGCTCCGTCGGAGGCGTAATCCTGTCCATTTACAGCAGTTTTTTCTCGTTTGCCATGCTTGTGTTTACGATCTTCGCGCTTCGTCTTGTCACCGTCTCCCTTGGGCTTTCTATAAGACGATTCCAGATTGAGCAAAACTTTCTCACAGGTTTTAACAAAGTCCTGCAGCGGCTCTGGACGGCACACATAGCAGTGCCATTTGCTTTCTTCATTCATGATTTCAGACAGCTCTTTTCGTCCAAGGTTCCTCAAAACGCACTTTTTGCAGAAGGCATTGCTGCAGTAGTCACAGCACATCAGATTACCCCCCTCTGCACACCACCTAAAAAAGACATAACATCCATTAAATCATTAAATTTCCCTTTTGGAACTGACTGCTCTTTTTCTACACTCTATTTGAGTAACATAGTAGCTCATTTGACTGTGAAAGATCTACTAAAGACACTATTAGTAGCCAGCAAGAGTTGTAAGTTGTAATATGAGAATGACTCCAGTTCAAATAAAGACATCTGAGCAGTGTTCAAAACATGGAGAGATTGTTTTTTAATGTATATATTAGGGCGGTCATCGTTAACGCATGCGATTAATTTTACAATCCTTAACGCGTTAAAATAATTTAACGCAATTAACGCAAAATTACTGAAGCACAATTTCTATTCTAACCCTTTAACCCAATTTTGCTACTCTGCTTGCGATTAGATAATTTTAAGCTGCTAAACTCCGGGAAAGTTTTCAGCCCAATGATCCAGTAAGCGAATGCATTCAAACAATTCGTCCAAAACAGCGCTAATACACTGCGCTAATACCAAAACACTGCGTTTTCAGTGAATTATTCATTCCAGTGTGTTTGGCTTTTAAACACGAGCTCTGTCATATTCTGTGATCGTCTCTAAAGAGCGCGAGCACTCACACATCACACGCACTTGTGTGAAGTACAGACTGAACGGATTGTCAACATCCCACCGCTGTATGGCCAGATGAGACGCAAACTACGGTTTCTCGACTGGATAACCAGTCTCGCTAGTAAAGTTTTGATGGATGAAGACTGCAATCAAGGTAAAGACGATTGCGGTGGCGTACAGGAATCGTACAGTAAGCATGCGTAAGTCCGTTATAATAATGCGTGTATGAGTGCTCTTGACGCACTGATCACACATTGTATTTATGCACAGGCACAGAAATTTCCGTACATTCACGTTGTTTCCACACACATTCATGATAATTAGGGATGCACCGATACCACTTTTTCCAGTACTCGCCCGATACCGATACTTTTATTTTTGGTACTTGCCGATACCGAGTAAATTTTTAAAATATTGGTTACAGAAACCAAAAGAGTATGTATAATGTTAGTTGGTTAACTTAATTTATCAAATAGATACAGTCAAACCAAAATTTATTCAGACACCTTCAACATTTCTCACATTATTTGCTATAGTTTAGAAAATGGTAATAAAATATAACAAGAACTCAAGAGTTAAACTGTGTCAGAACAAGTGCAGCTTGATAATGTTAAATAACTTTGATAGAAAGGTATGTTATGGATTACAATCAACCAAAAATTTGACAGCTGTTATATGACAGTATTTACACAACTATCAATACTTAGTCGGGCAGCCCTTAGCCTTAATGACAGCCTGTAGTCTCCTGGGCAT